CCTTCCTTCCTTCCTTCCTTCCTTCCTTCCTTCCTCTTTCTTCCTTTCTTCCCTTCCTTCTCTCCCTCCCTCCCTTCCTTCTTCCTTTATATTCTTTTCTCCCCACCCTGCTGTAGTGTGAACAGCTTCTGGTCCCTCTGACTGGAATTCCTTTGTGCCCTCTTCATTAAAACATAGCACAGGGATCACTTCAGGAAGGTTTCCTAGGCCTTGGACTAAGTTTATCTCCTTTGTGCTCCATGCATGGGCCTTTCACATACCTCTAATGTGGAATTTAGCACTGAGGAGCTGTTTATGTTCTGGTCTCCCCTACTATCATTTCAGGTTCCTCTGTGTTAAGGACTGTGTGTGTGTGTGTGTGTGTGTGTGTGTGTGCATGCGCACACACAGGTGTTTAATCACAGTGCCTGTTATATACCATGGCACATAGTAGACACACAGAGTTTATAGAAGTGAACTAAACAATCCTGGATTTTTTTTAATGATTACCAGATACAGTCCTGCTCTCCCTTGGACACAATTTGATAAACACTACCAATTTCAATAGTGCTCTGTCTTAAGAACTCTGGGCATACCACCTTTCTTCTGTGGATAACTTCTTCCTTCACATATGTTAATACCGTTGATTAAGTTATAGCTCTCTTTTAGAACAATCATATTCTAGCTCATGTCTCTCTGAACTGCATCCTAGATCCCGTAATAGGGTTTCTTCATTGCTTTATTCATTAGTTGACTTATTTTATTCATATGGTTAAAAGATATCTACTAGGTTTTCAGTAAACAGGTGCCCTTTGTATTACCAGCCGTCATTGTGGATCACAAAGTGTGAGCCCAGTGGATGCTTCATTGGGTGGATGTGTGCATAAGGCAGGAGCCAATGGCAGGAGTCCTATATTGATGCTAAGAGGATAGACATGCCTTTCTAAGGCCAATGATAGAAGCTGAAATGAGCACACCTAACTTCGCAAGCACCTTTCAAGGCTCTCCTTAAATCAGATGTTTACATTTTATTGGCCAAATCAAGTCATATGACTGACCCAAATATCAAGAAAAAGGAAGTTCATTCAATCTGTAGATTACAGTAGGAACTGTAAAATTTCAGGGCAAAAACATGAATAGAGAAAAGGGTAAAAGATCAAAGGCAATAATTTACTATAATCTAATTTTATTTTTTCTCTTTAATTCCAAGGATAAAGAATTTGGTGGTGATTGAATTATTACTATGTGGTCAAAAACAAACCTTGTTTTATTGAGAGATACTTACATTGATGACAGAGACCTGTCAAATATAATATTCCTTAAAACAGCCCATCTGCTTTTCACAATAATTTTTGTGGTGATAATAGCTGTGCAAAATCATTGACCAATTTCTGCACAGCAACTCATTTATTAAGGGCTTCATATTTTTATGCAATTTAATCTCTTCAATGACCTTATGATTTCTCCATACAGATAAAGATTCTGCAGCTTATGTAATTATTTGCCCAGTGATACCCACTTATTACTGCTGAAATATAAATCTATATCTGCATTGATGACTAAATATTTAAAGTAGTATTTTAAAATATTTTACCTAAAATGTTTCCATAATATATGATTTCTGAATCGTGAGATTTTAATTTTATTTTATTGTATTCTGTTCTGGTAATCTCTCTCTTGGCTGTGTAGAGAGGAAAATAAGAAAAAAAGTAGAATTTAATAGAGTATCTTATGATAATTTTTCTCTCAAATATTTCTGACAATCAGACCAATGAGAAGTAGACATAGATTGTTGCTTGAAAAATTAACTCTAAAAATGTGCAGGCATGACTTTAATGTGAGAGCTATATGACAAGACTCCATGTGGAATTTAATAATTCAAAAATATCATTTTTATTTAAAAATGTCTTGCGATTTAGGAATAGTAGACAGGTCAAATATATTTTGAAAAACCAATTTTTTTCTTTTTTGTTTTGTTTTTATCTCTGTTCATTTTTCCATTTTTCATATCAGGTATCCCCATTTAATATTAATTATATAATAGAATATTTTTATTCTTATTTAATAATGATGTTTATTTACTGAGTGTTTAATATGTGTCAGACACTCTTCTAAGAGCATTACATATGTTGACTTTTTTGTACTTTGCAATAAATGCATGAGGTATTTTGACAGAAAGTTAAGCCCACGGGAATTAAATATTTTCCTCAAGTTTGCTCTTTGGAAAGTGGCATGGTATGGTTTTAAGTGCATTTAGTTGAGTTCTACAGTTCAAGATACTATTACACAATATAACCCTTCCAGAAACTAAAAGTTCGCAAAAATGCCAGGGTCCTCAATTCCATGAACTTTTCCAGTTGCTAGAAAAGAACATGAGCTATTATATAAATTCTTGATGCTATTATTTTTTCAGATTACTTAGTAAAATTTTATGCAATATGTCAAAAGTTTTCAATGGTAGAAATTCCTGACATACATTAAGTGGGTACTTTCAAACTATTTAACTGGTAACAGTGGATGTTGAAACTGCATTTCTGAAATGTGAAGAAAATCTGTGTTATATAGCAAAGGGCATTAAAACCCTAGGTAGGGAATATGTTGTGAAGGATTTGGTGTAAATTGTTATTCTTGCTGAGACTTAAGACTTGCTTAGATGTTCTAT